TATATATATATATATATATATACACACGTAACACTCTTGCAATAGTGTCATGTTATCATAACTGCGTCACATCGTCACGTCATCGTCACGTCATCGTCGCGACGTCTGAGTTGAACTTTAAGTAAAATCGACGATAAATCAACCGTGAATGCAAGTAGCCTGTAGCGTCAACGATAAAACAGCCATAAAACTTACTGTACCCTCTCCCCCCATTTACATCTTTCAGCCAACAACGAAGATTCAGTCAGGGAGGATCACAGATCTTTTTGATCAGAAGACTTGGCACGTTTATAGAAATCCAACTTTTTTTATGAATTTTACAAACTGAAAATGTAGATGAATTCTTTTCTATTTTGTTTGCTTTTTTCTCTTTCCTTTGACTGAAGTTTGATGTCGCATAAAACAAACATTTAAACTTTCGAGAAATTTTTTTTTTTCTTATGACGTGACATACAAGTGAAAATTCAAATATGTTTGAAACTATACAACGTTTATACGATGTTATTAGCGGAATTTTAATATCCCATCCAGGAAATCTTGACTTATTAAGAATATTGACGAATAACTGTACGAAAGATGAAAAAGAAGTTCGATTAAAACAACTAAGTTAAATTTCAAGGAAAATCTTTTTCCGTATTTTATACAATTATGTAAATATTCGTAATATGACTTTTTCTTTTGATTATACAACATCGAAATAAAAAAAAAAACACTTGTGTCCTCTCACTTCTATTATACTTCAATTGCAAGTGTATAATGATAACACCAAATGTACGTAAAAAATGAATAATAAATACAATTTTACGTGATTTCAATCATAAAATAGTTACCATATGTGTGAGTCATCATTCCCATCCATGGATGATAATTCTCAGACAAAGATATCCATTTTCCACAACAATACTATCCAGATGTTATCCACAAACTTGTCTTAGAAGAAATTTCTATCGACAAACACCCTGAATGTTCCAATCAAAACGTCATTCTACGTTCTATCCAAGTGTAACACTTCGTATCTCGTGAAAGACTGAATGTGGGCTCCTGGTATACCTTTGAAACTTCAATCTACTTCAAAGAACATTTTGCTACATGAATATTAATTCCCAGTAATAACGTTCCCATAACTCTATCCACATCGAACATCCCAGTAATGCATAATACAGGCAACAATAATTATCGTATCACTTATTTGGTTAACAGAGAGAACACCACTTTTAGAAATAAGTATCAATCGATACGTTATTACCTCGTGGCCGTACATTCGCTCGTAATTTATTAAATACTTCATACAGAGTATAATACTGCAATGACCATAATTACTCGATTAAATCAAATTCTTCTGATAACTGTCATAATTGTACGGTGGAATTCAATAGTACTGCAACTTGCAACAATCTGCGCTACATAGATCAGTTACATTATACTTCGTCCGACAGTCTCGTCGAGATGACGGAACAAGTGACACTTGAAAAAGCTATCGGCATCGTTCGGCTGAGCATAGCTCTAACGTTCTGTTGGCCGCTTCCTCCGCACAGCAGCAGAAAAAAACTGTTCGTTTACAAAACTGCACAATTATTCGCGACAATCAGCATTATCTCTCTGCTTCTGCCACTGTTGTTCGCGATGTACATACAATCGGACAATTTCGAAATGATTTCGCTGGGTCTCAGCCAAGTAATATTAACGACGCAAGGTATCATTCAGACAATTATATGTTCCAACAATCACGACACACTGCAAGTAAGTTTCTAATTTCATTTCTATTGTCACGCGTGCTATTTCACGAATAGTTTCCTGGCCATTAAATTGGCAGCACTCGGAATTTTCAGCAGTTCTAGTAAAACTGTGGATAGATTTCAATCGCTTTAGATTGAACCACAGCCGATATATCTCGCAGAAACAATATCTTTCGTAGAAATCAAGAATTAATTAATGATACTTCAATGACTCCAAATTCAGTGGCCAGAAATTGTCTAAAACAGCTGGCTAAACGGCAATCGGCGGGCTCATGCACCTATTTGTCGCTGGCGTTACCCCCTCCACTACATCGATCTTTCTGATATATGAAACTTGATGCAGTGGAGGGGGTAGCGCTAGTAGTGAGGAGAGTAGGGGCAAGGACCGCCAGTTAGCCATCTCTGATCGAAAAGGTTTTAACAACAAGCATTGCAGTGCATAGTCGAAGAAATGTACGTTTGCGTGAAAGAGGTGCAGCAATACGAAAGAGAGATTTTCAACACATACCTAGAGAGATGCAATATCATTTACGCAAGTTACATAATCGGCGCTTACATGACGGCGTCCATTTATTTGTGGGGACCTATATTATTTTCAGTGGTCAACATAGTGCACACTGAATATCCATTCGATACTAATCGCACAGTGATAAGTGTTATGGTCAAAGCGCATCAAATCGTCGCGTTCTATCAATGCAGCTCGCACGTGTGTCTGTGCGTGTTCGGAGGGCTTTTAATTTGGTTCACGGCCGCTAGATACGAGTGTCTAGTCGTGGAAATGCAGAAGAACACGAACATTCGTACGCTGACCATGTGCATTCGGAAACAATTGCGTCTGAAAAGGTAAAGATATTACTTTTTACCGTACTCGATCAAAGGTGACTGCCCACAGAGATTCGTACACATGAAAGTGTGACAATTCGGAATAGCTGCATTTTGAAAGAACTACGTACAGATTTTTCATGGCAATGAGAAGTCTGAAAGAAGACTTTCCAGCTTCTAAATGACGTAGATTGTTTCGTAGATTCTAAGAATAGATACAAATAAGAACGATAATAATTCACGATTTTTATAATCTTGAAATATATTCTCAAGCATCAATGTGCTGTTTAGTTACCGAAACTACTGGTAAAAGCCGTGTCTTAATGGTACATTACCGTAAAACAGTGGACTTAATGGTACATTGACGCGATCATTGCAAGCGATTGTATTTCTCCTCAGATACGCGGAAGATGTACTTGCATGTTTTCGTTACATGGTACTCTTTGTTATAATAATCACTACGTTTCTTATGACTCTATGTGCTGCCATGATGGTTATGGTAAGTAACATTTAAAAACAGACTGTTGCGCGTTCAATGAACTGATCGTGTAATTCCTAAACAGAATACACCAATAATGGTGAAAATCATGTACATACTCCTCAGTATGTACTATCTTATGTACCTTTTCATGTACGTGTGGCCAGCTGATAATATGAAGGACATGGTAGATCGTTTGCATATAGACATACAACGAACGAAATAGTATCATCTTAATATTAATAATAAGAATAATATTCACAGAGTTTAAGCCTTCCAACCAGCATGTACAGTCTAACGTGGTATGAACAAACGATACGAATGCAAAAGGACATGCTGAATGTGTTGACGTATCAAAAACCAGTGACTCTTTCTATCAAATGTGTGATGCCAGAACTATCCTTACGCTATTATTGCACGGTAAAGACATACAACGTCGATCGAAGATTTTACTGCAATAATGGCCACTGTCCAATAATTAAAATTAAATAAATCGATAAGAAATAACTCGTAAGCAATCGAAGTCAAATAAGTTTTTCAAATGCAGTATAAATTGACAGATGATAGCCTGGTTTACAATAGATTATGATATTTCGAATATTTCAGTTTTTATCCGAAATTTTTCTAAATTTTTGAAATCATTTCGAATAGAGTATTATCCATTCCCATGTATCTG